CTCTTGAAGTAATTTTGTATCTGACTGATCATCGACGGCTGTGGTATTTATCAGTGAAACAGAAAAAAAATTTGAAATAAGTGAATAGTTCTTATGATAACATAAAATTTTCCATAATTCCGACTAGAGATGTGCCTCTCGCATGAACCTAGCGCGTATCACATGACCTCGCGCGAAATGCGAGATGAACTCGTACAGGACAAAATTTTGAGTTTAGCAGGTATAGGTTTTGTGTTTTGTAAATCATTGATCACTAAGATGTTTTTATTAAAAATTTATTCTGCGCGAGATATAGTATTATATGATTAATTCACGTGAGGGTCTCGTGCGTGGGCGCATCTCTAATCCCGACTATTCAAAGCTGACACGTATAAAATCCCGAAAAATTACTATAATTATTATCAAAAAAATATCAATAATTTGTAAATTGTCAGCAATTGTCGTAATAATTATTTGTCGGAATTTTGAATCATTTGAAAAGTTAGGATACTGAATTTTCAAGATTCAGTGAGTTATAAGTCAGAATTTTGAAGGTTTCCATATATACGATAAACTGAATCGAACGTTACCATTGATAAGATTTGTTAAATCTCTCCCGATTAAATTTTCGAGTAAATATTTAATGAATTCATTAGCATAGGCAAGTTCTTTAACTACGGTCCAGCTGTATTTATCAAGTTCATTCAGGTGTTTATTAAGTTTTTGAAAAATACCAGGCAACTCATTTAATCTCATATCACCATCCTCTAAATGCTGAAGCATCAGAGACACCCAACTTTTATCTGCATCTCTTACTTTAAATTGGATAAAAACCTGTAGAAGCCATTCGAGTTGCTCGATGTGACGCGGAATAATAGCCAAACATTCTATAGAAGCAACTAAACCATTCTGTACTTGATTTCTTTGTCGGTATAAAGAAGCAATTATTTCCAGTTCATGTTTAACTTGTTCTTTAGTAATGCCTTTCCAAAATACTCGAGCTTCAGAACAATTAATATTTTGCCAATTTTTATAACTATTACAAATCTTTTGATATTGTTCAATCATACTTCTCGTAAACATCTCTGCTATATCTAACATGCTCATTTGTATTTCATCCTTCGTATTGTTTTCAATCATGTTTGCAAAAGTTACAGAATTTTCATATTGGTATACTTTTTGGCTGACTTCAATAATCCCAGTATGTGGAAACCAGTATTCTCTAGAATCAAAATCAGCAAGTGGTACATCTTTTAAAGTTTCCATCTTATGAGTAAGATCATTTACATAAGTCAGAAAGTCCTCAGCCTTATTACACCATTTATGGTAGAAAGAAAATAGATGCTTAGCAGTATCTGAATGTTCATGCGACTTATCCCTAAGAAAATCTAATATTTCACCAGTAATCATTTGTTCCTCATTTTCAAAACCGATACCAGAATTAAAATAATTAATCAATTCATCATTTTTTAATTCAGTTAACGATTCAAGTAAACCCATTTGAATTGACTTATTTTTAATCATATTAACAAGTTGAATGATTTGAGAACGAACGTAGTTCATTTGTGGATGGGAATGAAGCTCAGTAACCTCTCCACTAGCATTTAATAAAAAGGACCAGAATTTAGAAGATTTGAGTAATAATAATTGATTTTCATCGTTGCTAACATTAAATTCACTAGATGCCACAATTTTACTCCGAATTATATCTAATATATGACAGACAGTATTCTCGCATAATCTAAAGAAGATTTAATAAAACATATGAAATTTGAATAATTATCTACAAAATAAATATACTACCTTGCTCTGAAACTCGAAATAAACAGCTTACCTATTAGGCACATTCAAGGATGCGGGTGAAGAATCACATATATGGGCAATATTTGTTATTAGAGTATCATCATCAGTGGAGTTAATAAACGGATCAAATTTGTCGTTAAAGATTCTTGTAAAATCTTTTGCAATGCTAGGCATTTTGGTTTCAAGCCTGCCCACAAATGAAGTTGATTGAAGCAACAATTGAATTGATATATTATTGATTCTCTTTTCAATGATTCCTATTAATTGTTTATAGATATCCGGACGTTTTTTAAAAATGAATGAAATTTCTGAAAGTTGCTTATACATTAAGATTACAATATTTTGTCCTTTTTGGGAAGTAGAGGTTATATTTGAATACCATGCATCACAAAGAGATGGAATTTTTTTGTGCAATTGTTTATTATCTTTCGATTCCCAAGCGAATTTTAACCAAGTTGGAAATTTATGTAATAAATCGATATTTTTTGATCTAGAAAGGAATTCTAATACTTGCACAACCTCAGATTCAGTAGTAAATAATTGGGAAAACAGCCACAAAAATGAATTTAAGCATGCGGAATTCCATGTCAAATCATTATTTAATATAAGATTTGTAAATCTGTTACGAAATGCTTGTAAGCAATCATTGCGAATATCTTCGGAGAGAGACTTGAAATGTTGTTCTAACTCGCATGGATTATCGGAATCAATGTCTTTACTAATAAGCTCACATAAAGAGCTGACGGTGTCAAGGTCAAGGTTTTCTTTCTCAATAATTTTGTGAATTAGGAAATCGCATGATTCTATCCCAAAATAAGAAATCGTAATAATAGTCTAATAAAAGCAAATTAAATTTAAATATGGTATATCGATGACTATATATATCGACATGTGTTGTAAAGTGAAACTTATAACTGCGTTTAGGGCTTACTATGATCAATTACATATTTTCACTTTGCAACGCTCATATAGTTTTAAAAATAAAGTTATTTTACCTTTATGATCTTTTGATAAAGAATTCGATTATTAATTTTATCGATCTCATCAAGATGCGGCTTTACATTCGTTTGAAGTAAATTGTAAAAAGTCTGCATTTCATCCTTATTCGTATATTTATGTTTTGTAATATGAGATAAAAATGAGTAGTTTGAATCGAGAATAGATGCAACAGAAAACATTTTCATCCACTCGAATGAATTGCGTATTGATGAATTATGCTTGACTAAAGCAGAAGTTGCCAAAGTAAATGGTTTTTCAGCGCTTTTAGGTAAAGGATTTTCGGTCCGAATTTCTTGTAATGCTTGTAATAAATCGGCCGAAGGAAAATTTTCAGGTAATTTTACACGATTATTTGTTTTTTTTTGAATTTCGTTAATATGATAAGCCAACATAACACAGATTAAAATTTTTTGGCAGTTATCACGTGCTTTCGAAAGATAATTGAAAATCAAATCCATACTGATCGCCTGAACAGTTGGCTCATTATAATGCTTTAAAAGTTTTTGAAATTCCATAACTTTGTCTTTGATATTTTCTAAAGTTACGGATTCATATATCATAAAAACAAACTTGAAATCTTGATTTAGGTCTGGCTTATAAAGCTTACTAAAATAGTTCGTTTGCCATACATCATATTGGTTTTCTTTATATACTAATTCGCGGTTATCATTTTCTGAGTTTCCTTCCATTACAATTGTCTGATCGCCCAAGAACCAATTTGAAGCCATGGACAAAATTCCTTGAGACTTTTTAGGTCTGTAAATTGCATATTTGTACTGAGGTGAGTTACCTTCTTTTACATAAATTCTGATTCGTTCTGAAACCCAATATGTAGAATTTTTCTCAATTTGGCGCAATCTCACAGCTGGCCTTTTCCAATTTCCCAATTCTTTAATATTGCCAACGACTATAGGATGCATAGATTCATCAAGATAGCTTGGCATATGAACATGAAATGTAATAAAAATTTCGCTACTTGTATTTGTTGCTAGTTCATCGCCATCGCTAATAGCGTCATGATATTCACTTCCGCTATCATCATCATCATAATTTTCATAATTCATGTTAATAAGGTATTTTTGCAAAGAAGATTATTAAATATATGCTACGATTGAATTTCAACAGTTTCAAGAGGTGAAATGGGGTGACCAAAATTTCTTTTTTTTTTGCCTTAATATTTGTAATCTTTGTTTGACGCGGGATGTTCATCTTGAAAGCATCCCGATGTTTAAAGTTAGACACGACATTATAATTCATACGGCGTAATTCATATGATAACTTTTTATTGATTCTAACGCTAAATTCGGTTTATCGATTAACCCCATCTCATAATAATAATGCCTAATTTATTGAAGGCGTAAGGAGAGT